AGGTTGAGGTTGGTTCAGGAGAACGCGGAGAGATAATTGAAGTAGGGTCTTGTATGCGTGCTTCGGAGACACAACATACATCAACATTGAAAGTTTCGAGAGTTTTAGCCAGGGCAGCTTGTTGGCCAAACTGATANTTGATGGTAAAACGCTGAGTGATATTCGATGAGTGGCGTAAACCGGAGGCATCTGGGATTAATCGAGGTTGAGAAGAAGAACTAGTCAGAATGGAAGGATCTTTTTCTAAATGGTTACCCAAGACTTTGGGGCACGGCATACTTCGCGGTAGCCCACACCGACGAAGGGGTTTTTCTTTGGGAACCCTAACCGGAGCCTTTGACTCAATAGTCTGACCCACAAGGCAGTGGAGCGTAAATCCAACGCGGGAGCGTGAACGATACACCCGTGTGGGAGCTTCTGGAGACCTGTAACACAAGGCCTTTGAATTTCGGTTAAGTTTGTTGTTCGCTGGTGCGCTGATTATCGGTCCGCTTTTCGAGATCAGCCCTTAGCCTCATGCACCCAATGGGGCAAGCGGAATCTGAAGCTGGATCTGCACGAGAGCATCCTCAACGTTATTTAACCAGGTTTCTTGTATGCATACGACACATGTGTTGGAATGGATGCGTGTGTTCAATGAGGAAGTTTAATCCGAGATCTTTGCGGAGAGAGCGAACGTTGATGCTGACCAATGACGGCACGGTCATCTTGGCTGGAGGTGTGCTATTAAACGCACACTGCCATCTAGCACACTTGCACTTCTTGATCCAAGCATGATTGTCAGATTATCCAGGCATATTATTTGTGTGATGCACAGAATTAACATATTTCAATCTAAGTATATCCTGAAAAGAGTAGGTATGGGTCCGGAACATGTTTGACATGGAGATAACAATAAAATCCAGTGAGACGATGAGCACAGGACCAATCAATTTTTATCACGTCTGATGATTTTTGCCGTTTCGGAAATCGAAAACCAAGAGAAGGGATACGGAGTGATAGGGAGAAGTGGCACTGCTAGCTAGAACAAACTGACAGAATCATGTGACATTTTTCCTGTGATTTCGTTTGCATCCGAGAAGTTGCTCTCCTCCTCCTCCTCCCCCCTGTTCCCCCCTCTCTCCAAAGAAATTCGGACAGTGGCCACACTCGATACATGGATCATTTCATCCACAAGAATCATTGACATTGCAAGCTTGGATTATGGTCAGTGATATTACTAGATATATTTTTACTAATAAACAATTTGTTGTTTCTAAGAGTCATCTGAATGCGAGAACCAGTGTATTTTAAGGTTGTTCCTTGGAGACTAAAATAACCCACTGGACCTGGGGATCAAAAAGACAGCAGAGTAAGAATGGAGAAACCGGACTATGACACTAACCTCCTTGAGCTTGTGAGATACGGTCCAACAGGGACAGTTTCTCTAAGGCTCTCTTCTTCCTCTTTTTCTTCTTCGGTGCCGGTTTTTGAAAATGGTTCAAAATGGTGTCCAAATCTTCGGCAAAGGCCATGTTTAACATACGATCGGCTTCGTCCAAAACCAAATGACGGACACGGGCTAATTGTTGTTGCGCAAAGTTCGGTGTTTGTCGAAGATGATCCACCAGTCTACCTGGAGTAGCTATTATCAATGACCGAAGTACGAAAGGTAGAAAGTAAAGAGAACCGGAATTTCGAATGAAATAATATGAAAAACAGGGTTTAAATCAAGCTTCAGAACTGAAACTTTAACTCAACTGCGTATAAGAAATCCCACGAGTCATAAGGACACAAATTTTCTTTAAATTTATTGTGGCCATCAACTCCCACACTCAAGAGTAAAGGTTTCTTTTCATAGTCCAGTAAGGATAGATTGGCACCACAAGGGCTTGTTGCACCTGTTGATCATTACAAGTTATCGCATCAAGACCGAAGGAAGACGCGTGTCGCGAGACGTTAACATCTAATCTAATCTCTTAAATCGCTGAATGACCAGGTACATA